ATGCCGTGCAGAAATTTCTCAAGCAAGATATCGTCGACCTTCTTTGTAATGATCTTCATTACAATGCCTACGGAAGGGTAATTTTCTCAATTTGGTTTATCCGACATTTCACGGTGCTCTAATCTTATTCAGATTTTCCTTGTTTCAATCACAATAATATTTTTTTTCAAAGAAATGCTTAATTAGTTAGCTAATTTAAGAAACATGTGCTTAATTCTAATTGTTTATTTGATTAAAATTATGTTAAAAAGGCTTCAAATAGATTACATATTGCATTATTCATCAAAAATAAATTCATGTATCATATATTGTGATATTTTATTGACGTAACAGAAGAATATATGTATTAGGTTTATTAGTGAATTTGGATATTAAATTCTTTACATTTGACGCAGGCAGAAGGTCTTCTCGTCGAGCAAAACATGTCTTCATGTTATGAATTTATTGCAAAATTTACTAATTGTGTATTGGGTTACATTGGAGACCTTTGTAAACAAAGGTATGATTTTCTGTGTATGCAGTAAAAATATTCATTTCTTCTTTTGTATTCACTCACTCTTGTTGAGAATGAAAGGGTCCTTCATTATTATTATTTTTTTTTTACCTCTATTTCAATTAAATCCGTTGACTTTTATTCATTTTCTAAATTTTCCCCTCTACAATGCCTTAGCCGAAATTTATAATGACAATGTTTTAATTTTCTTTAAAAGGGATATTCCTGATGAATGCAAGCAAGCTATTCAGTCACTGATATATGCTGCAGCAAGATTTTCTGACCTGCCGGAACTCCGTGAACTCAGAAAGTTGTTTACCGAAAAATTTGGGAAGAATAATCTTGAACCTTACATAAGTAGAGAGGTGACCACTCTTACCGTCCTTAAATTATTTTCTTGACTACGATTTTGATTTCATCACTTACTTAAATATTTGTTTTTGTTTAATTAGTTTGTTGAGAAATTGAGGAAAATTCCACCTTCAAAACAAATGAAGATTCAGCTGTTACATAATTTAGCAGAAGAATTCTCTATAGCTTGGGACAGCAAGGTTTTAGAAGAAACACTTAGCATACCGTCCCAATTATACGAGGTGAGTTGTATTTATCACTGATTAGTAATGAATAAGTATTTGTTTCAGAAAAATATATATGAATTAGAATTGAATAATTAAAAGTGCATTGATATATTTTAATCTCATCTTGATTAGATGTCAGTTACTTTTCCTTGAATTGTGATCTAAGGAAAGTAAGAAATATATACATGCAGCTTGTTTTTAGGTTCACACTTATTCAGCTACATTCCAAAACATTGAACTTGTTGCAGGAGAAAGTCAAACTTGATCTACCAAATGATCATGATGGTGTGAAATGGCACATGAATAATGATGTTGCTGTCCCCAAAATAGAAATGTTTGCTGGAGGCAAACACAGAGATGGAACAAGCTGCCATACATATAACAGAAATGAAAGCACCATTGATATCAGTGATGCCTATTGGAGGCTACAAAGCAGCACTGACGATGAAACAACTACAGACAGCTCATCCCTTGATGGCGATAAGGTTGATTCAAGTTCATCAGGAAATGTGTCAGAGGATGATGCAGAAAATATATTGGAGATTCAAACCAAACTTGAAGAAAAGGGATATTCAAAGGATGATGAAGAGAAGATAATGGATGTTCTCTTAATGTATTACAGTAAGAAACAATCTCCTCATGAATCAAGCATTGGAAAAGATAAAAGCTCGATAGAAACATTAAGAGTTCATGGACGAGCTACTTCTTTGGTACCGGAAATGTTGAGGACAGCGAGACATGTGCATCCTAATCTGCCAGATTATGATGACTTGTGGGCTCGTTTTGCAGCTCTTAGGAAGACATCCCAACTAGCAGTTTAACAAACATAACATATATTCTTTCCTTTTTTCTTGTTTCATCATTCTTTGGTTAATCCAACGTTATTCTCACTCTCCTAATCAATATTTAGTTGCCATAAATGAACATATGACAATTGGGAGATACTCCCTTCCATTCATGCGTGTATTTTTAGATTGAAGTCAGAGTTTCAATCATTTTGAAAGAAATACAAGTAGGTGTTGTACTCATTTATTAAATTACATTTACAATTTCTGCAAAACTTGCTCTGATAAGAAATTGAAGCTAAAATAATTTTGTTCATTTTCGGCCGAATTTATTTGTATCGGAAATATTTGATCAAATTATTTTTTAGATTAATTAATAAATATAATATGATTATTAAAACATATTTATAAGTTTTTTGTATAATTTTTTTTTTCATTTTATAACAAATATGATTTTACGCAATTATAATTTTAAGTTGATTTTTAACTTTTATCTTTTTCTTTTATTCAATTCTTATAGTTTTTGTTTAACGATCGTATTTCATTATAACTTTAAAATAAATAAATTAATATGCTTAATAAATAGTAAAAATATTAAATAAGGCAATAAAAAATATTTAAGTACTTAAGGTAAAGGTAAAGATAAAGATGAAGAAATCCTAATTTAGTCAAATGACAAACTGATAAAATAATCAAATAATTTACTAACTGAAATAACTGTCAAATACACTCGTAAAATATACTATAGATAAATATATTTTATTAAGGATATCACTCAATCAAACACTAAATTTTCAGAAAGGTAAAGATAAACAAATTTTGTTCTTCCAAGTTTCTATATGAAACATTTTCCATTCATTACACAAATCAACGTGTTAGTACAACTTTTTGAAACTTTTTGGTAGGAAAATATATTTTTTGAAGTTGATATCTTCTGCAATTTTGAAATTGTATAAGAATACTTTAAATCTTATATGGTTATTTTGGTAGAGGGTTCAATAATCTACATGCATATAATCTATTTCTGAAACATTCTCAATTTAAAAAGTCTTATTTCACTTTATTCTTATTTGTCAAAATAAAATATTCAATATTAATAATAAAAGTTATTTATTATCTTTTTTTAATTTTAAATTTTTATAAAAACTCTATGAAAATTTAAAAATATTTGCTTAATGTACTAACTCTTTTAGGTGTAAAATAGCTATTATATATATATTATCGATAGTAAAAATAAAATAAAATTAAGCTCTATATATTAAACACAAACCTCTATTTTGTACAACATAAGACAAAAGAAACGTTCCAGATGAAATTAAAGTATTCTATCTTCACAAACTGACCAGATGAAAGAAAAGTCAATCTAGACCAAAGAAAAGTCAAAGTATACTCAAAATTCAAATGCATTATCATACGCAGATGAAGAATACTGAAAAGCGTCTGAAGTCCACTATTTATAACAAGAGATATCAATATCTTCCGCCGTCACCCTTTTGTGGATGGCATCATGGAGACGCCACTCTCTCTCGGATGGAAGCCTCTCCACCTCGACCGTTACGACGGCATGACGGACCCGGATGAGCACATCGACCTGTACACCACACAGGTAAACCTCTACACTAATAATGATGCTATTCTGTGTAGGGTTTTTCCGACCTCGCTTAAAGGGGCCGCACTCAATTGGTACACCCAATTGCCACCTAAGTCGATCGACAACTTCCACACTTTGGTGAGGCAAGTCACGACCCAGTACGCCACCAGTCGACCCCACCATGTCACATCAGCCGCCTTGGCTAGCCTTCGCCAGGGCGATGATGAGTCACTGAGAGCATTCATGGAGCGTTTGGCCAACATCTCGGTCAAGATCAGGAACTTAAACCCTGAAGTCGCCCTGCACGCCATGCTCATCGCACTCAAGCCCGGATTGTTTGTCGACAGCCTGTGCTGTGAGGCTCCTTGCGACATGAACGAGCTTCGTGCCTGCGTTGTCGGGTACATCCAGATGGAGGAGCACTCCGCCTTCCGTGACCAGGTTCGCGGAAAATCACACGCGAAACATGACAGTGGCCACAAAGACAAGATGAAGGTCACCAATGACAGTCAGTTCAAGAAAGCTGCTAGGACAAGCAAGGGGGGGAGATACGACTTCTACACTCCCCTGAACACGCTCAGAGTTCACATCCTGGAGGAGGCCAGTAACAGCTGTAGACACCCAATTTCGTCCAGGGGCACAAAAACAAGGAAATAGACCTCCGTTATGAAGGGAAGGAGCTTTCGAAGGAGGCAAACAACAAGAAAGGACATCAGAAGGCCTAAAGGCCAAATAAGGTGGTATAAGTAGCCCGGAACGGGCTGTTCCAAAACAGGAACGGGCCATTCCGAACACCGGAACGGGCCGTTCCAATATCAGAACGGGCCGTTCCAATGTGATTAAAATACCTAAAGAGGCTTGGTTGGAACGGGCCGTTCCAATTCCAGAATGGGCCGTTCCAAACAAGCCAATTTTGGAATGGGCCGTTCCGGAATAGGCAACCCTGTGTTAATTTTTACTCTGGAACGGGCTGTTCTATTTTCTGAACGGGCCGTTCCAGGGTGTGAAATTTGCACATAATGAGTGGCCCAGAACGGCCCGTTCCGAACCCGGAACGGGCCGTTCTGGCCCCCCTTCTGATTCATATAAATTGAAGCCTCGAGCACAGTTCTCCAGGGGGCCAGAGAAATTTCGAATAAGACTCCTTTGAGCACGAAAATTCTCTATCTCTCTCCCTTCTATTATATTTTTTTGAAATTTGTATCGCATCTCTATATTTTCTCTCCCTCCTATTGTATTTCTTGAGATTTGTGAGGCATACTGTAGTGTGAAAGCTTGCCACAAAGCACCTTTTCCATATTTGAAGATTCAATAAAGCTTGTTTAAGAGGTATTTTAGCTAATCTTCTTCTCTTCCTTTTATTTCTTATCTTTATCTCTTTTTTTGTTATAATAAACGTCATAATGTAGATATTTTAGGGTTAATCGCTTAATTTATATTTTAAGCATGATTTATATTTTAAGCATGTAAATAAATATTAATAAAGGGGATTCAATATTTAATTTATTAATTCTTATAATGTTAACTTCATCATAGGGTACCAATTGAGGGCGCTGTAGGGGTGCTTAATACCTTCTCTACACGTAACCGACCCCCGAACCCAATTCTGGTTATCAAGGCCATAGTTGGATCTTTAAAAAACCTTTTCTTTTTCCAATGTTTTGAGTAAAATATTGGTGGCGACTCCATGAACCTATTTTCAAAAACCATTAATTAAGGATTAGTCTGGTGTCCGGGCATTCCTTAATTAATGAGACTTTTAAAAGGATGTCTAAACCATACGTCGCGAGATCGGAAATTTTCGGGTTGCGACAACAACAACCTGCTCACCCTGCCACCGCCAGGTCACACTTCCAACAATGCGGACAAGTCCAAGCATTGTCGATATCACAGAAACCACGGTCACACCACTGAAGAATGTCGCACACTCCAAGACCGTATTGAGGAACTCATTCAGGCAGGCCACCTCGGCCAATATGTCCAATGACAGCAGGGTCACCGAGGAGGCTATGGTGGACGAGGGCGAGGCAGAGGTCGTGGTTCAGGATCACGCACGGACCAACCCTCTGGCTCTCATGATAGACCATGGGCCAAGGGCCCAGTCACTAGAGCTTTTCAGAAAAAGTGGGTGAGTGAAGCTGACGGGCCAGGAGTTGTCGAGAATACTCAAGGCCAGGAGTGGTCAAGAATACTCAGGTCCAGGAGTGGACGATAATACTCTATGTACCTCATTTCATATCTAGTGGAACCCTTCAAGTTGAAGGAGACTAGACGTAGCTTAGATGAGAGAACCAGTATAAAACGATTGCATTCCTTTACTTACTTAGATGCAAATCTTTCTTATTGATGAAACTTTTGTGAAAGACTTCGTCCAACGTTTATATATCTTTAAAACTACTTTTAGACGAAGAAACTAACTTTGCTTGACAGACTTATTACACTGAAAGTTTCATCTGCCACTTATACTTAAACGAAACTATTTTGAAAAGGAAAATGTAAGAACTTCAATTAATATATTTATAGAACATTTTCCCTAGTGGACGATAAATCCTTCAGACGCATTGATAGTAAGTTAAGCAATCTCTGGTTAATCATCTGATATTCAGAAGTGCAGTGGATGAAAAGCACTACTATTGCGAAAATATTTTTAAAATACCTTTGTTCACACACACACATATTCAACCCCCCTTCTATGTGTTTTTTCGCTGACTTTAGTTAGCTCATATATGCACATGATGCATGTCACACGTTCACAAACTGTTGGACTCATCACTTCACTTGTCATGGAATTTCATGTCTTATCACATTTCACATTCTCATAGTCATAGTGTTCACATTAGCACATTCTCATTCACATCATGTGTCATGTCATTTGTTCATATTTCACATAATCATATTGATAATTGTTTCTCATAGGGTTCTCTTAAGAACCCATAGAGAACTCTAACTTATATCAAAACATACACTACTAGAAAAATGGAAATTAGAGACGGAAAAAATCCGTCACAAAATTAAAGAAAATCCGTCACAAAATTATTAGTGACGGAATTTGTGACGGATTTTGGGTCGTCACAAAAAATGGCGTCACAAAATATTTAGTGACGGAAAATTCAGTCCGTCACAATTAGTGACGGAAATATGTCGTCACTAACTAATAAATTTTCCGTCGCAATTTGTGAGGGAATGCATTCGTCACAAACTGGGTTCAAAATCCGTCACAAATTGTGAGGGATTCAAAATCCGTCACAAAATCCTAATTTTTTATTTTTACGAATTTTTAAATAAAAAATAATTAAATTATTCCAGATTTATTAATTATATAATATATATTATTTTCACTTTTTTTTTCTAATCTACAAGTATTAATTATTAATTTTCAGATAATTGGCAGTGGTAAGATTTGAACCCCTTACCTTCTACTCATTCTAACCTTAACACTCCTTCT